GAAATTCTGTGTTTCTCTTCTCTGATTCTCTACTGAAGAAGTATTTTAGAATATAAAACAATCAGGACACAAGGCACACCTTACCGTTTTTTGTTGTGTGTGTCTTGCATTGTCTGTACGTATTACTATTTACTCCTGTGCATGTCCCTACCTGTATAACATATAAGCTGTGTCAATAAAAGAAGTCAACCACATGAGATAGAGTGATGAATCTGTTTTATTTGTCAACAACCCAAACCCATAATACATATGGGGGCATGATGAACATTAAAGGTACAAATGATTAGAATGTGAAAAAGGATCACACAGCATTTCACTTAGTGGATTTGATGCCAGCGTAATGTTTCACACGATCGATGGTATCTGGAGTCACATGGGAAATCCGTATCCACTGGTTGTCATTCAATAACATGCGGGCAGTGAGTCTATCCTCGGGCTGCAGCTTCAGCAGTTTGAACACAATTCGGCTGACGTGTTCACACCACATCACATTGGGCATTACAGTTATAAGATTACGGTTGCAGTCATGATCATCAACTTCATCTGGATCTAGAACCCGTTTGATGAGTTCATCCGTAGCAATGTCCGGATCGAAAAAGCTTAGCGTCTGACATCAACATAACTCTGACATCACTGATCAATAATCAAAGAACACACAGATCAAACTGATTGATCAGCCATCAGAGGAGTCGGATCAATGGAGCTGCTTCTGTTCCTGATGTCCCCTGTTTGATCCTGGACCTGAACTCTCCCTGCAGAGGAGACACAAGACAGTCAGACAAGGACAAACAACAACAATAGACCAAAAACAAGAGTGGAGCTGCAAATAAGGCCGAGAGGAACGCTGCAGAAAACTGTTCATGTGTGAATTCATCACTTCATAGATTTCTTTGAGCACTAAAATCAGAGCTGCTTCTATTTCTAATATGACAGCTGTACATTAGAGCTGCAACACTTTAAATGTGAGCCATAAAAACATGATACTCTACAAGTGCATTCAGCTCTGACACTGTCACATCATGAAGGAGACGTGGAAATCACTTTGTTACACAAATCAAAGTCAAATCAGTTCCATGTACTAATGAGAAGTGAAAGGATTGAAGGGTGGAGCAGGAAAAGCTTGTAGAACTGGGGGATCATATATAGATAGGACCGTGGGGTGTGTTTGGAGGCGTGGGGCCGCTCCTGAAATTCAGATACTTTATCTCCAATAATACTGAGAGCCAGGAGAAAGGACAAGAAACGATTCATTCATCTGAGTCTTAATTGTCACATCTGAGAAGTGACAATTATTTCTGCATGTATGACCTGACACTAATTTGACCCCCTCACACCAGGTCAACGAACCACAGCTGTATACTCTTCTCTACTACATCTAACTAGAAGCAGCTATCTGTCTAATGTACAGCATGATACAGACAAACAAGAACATCTCATGTATTGCACTCATACGCAGAACACGGGAGACTTAATGCAGTAAGTCAAAGAATATAGTTTAAATGTTTGCAAAGCAGGGAAACACAATTATATACATCACCAGTACATCACTCACACGCTCACTTACACCACTGGAGCCGGAGATTAAATACATCATTACTTAAAGTACAAGACTTCATTAATTATTTCAAAAAAGGAATGGCCAACATATTTAGATAACAATGGCCCACCAGGAATATCACCGTGTGTTCTATGGGAAGCTGGAAAGGCTAACATAATATCTTATTGTTCACATAAGACAAAGGAGGGAAAAAGGCTTGTATTAGAACTGAACAAGAAATTCGATCATTAGACTCTGCCTGTGATGCCTCACCAACAACAAGCTAAACCAACAAACTAAAACTAGAATGAAATAATTCACAAGCGAACAGTTTCTGATGCAAAAGCTGCGTTTGGAGAACCTTGAACATGGTAATAAATCTGGAAAATTTCCCCCCAAAACCACTTAAATCTAAATAAGGAAAAAACGCTTCCACTGGGAAGATTCCTCATGATCAACAATAAATACATAAAGATGTTAAAGATTGTTATGAAGCTTTATACTCATATTCAGATAAAACTGAGGTAATTGTACTCGGTCCTAAAACTCTTGGTTTGTAACCAGATACTTAGTCTGGAGGCGTCATGTTGGCCTCCAGTAACTCTGTGAGGAATTTCAGACTCATTTACTTACTTCTAGATTACGTCAGTTTGAGGAGAATGTCTGCATAAAAACAACTGGATGAATTTGTTTCACTGATCACTGACCAGATCAGCCGACCACCATCAATGAACTACATGGTCACTGATGGTGGTCGGCTGGAGGCTTGTCTCCCTGTATGCCCTGCAGCTGGCTGTGGGGTTTTCTGTGACTGTGGTCGTTTGGCGGCTTCCTGGGGGCTGGAGATCTGCAGGTGTCATTTTGGGGAATCTGTGTGAAGACCTTTGTTGTGATTTGGCGCTATATAAATAAAATTGAATTGAATTGAATTGTGTCTGCCTCGGTTGGTGGTGGGAGTGGTGGTGTTTTTTTAAGTAACGACCCCAATCCTGATGGCAACAAAGAAGGGAAATAGCTCCAACACGCACAAACATTTGATCACACAGCATGTACTTAACTAGATAAATAATTTATTGCTGCTTAGTGATGGTGGTCATGCTCACAGAGAGCCGATGAAAATCGACCAGAAACCAAATCAATATCTGATTGATAATGGAATCGGAATCACTAAATTCTTATCAATTCCAAATCCCTACTTTAAACTTAGTACACTCATGTGCCCTGCCTGGGACGGGGTCCACTGGTCGCTTGCAGGCTCTTTCATATTGTTGTCTTCCAGATGCTCTGTGCTTTTATTTTCTACTTTTTCTGTTGCAGCTGTAGCAGTCGGAGATTCATTGCGTTTCTATTTGTTGTCTGTCTTTATTATGTGATGAAAGATTTTTGAGTTTTGTGTTATGTTTATTTGTAGCTTCATTTAAAGGAAGAAGAGCTTGTGAATTGGAACCACCACAGAGAAAGGGAGTGAAAACATATGTACAGAGGAATGCTGTGACATACGATACTTCCTCCTGTGTTAACAGACAAGTTAACGGTCTCTCTCCTTATAAGGAATATTTTGTTTTCTATACATACCAAGCTATCTCCTTTTTCAACAGACAAGCTAAAGGTATCTCCTTTTAAGGAGATATTATCAGTTCCATACATGCCACTCCTACTGCTGTGGAAACTTACTTGAAGTATAAATAAAGAATGTGCTAAGAGCCCTGGGCGGTTTTCCTCTGTGTAACATCTGTTCTGCACACGTAGGCAGTAGCTGAATGGTGCAGAGCCGATCGGACCAGGGACGGGGGATGGTCCATGTATATGTACATGAAAAAGATATCTTGAGTCTGAGTTTCTTTGTCTTCTAACAATTTTCTCCTCACATTATGTTTTCTCCCTCCTGCCTGTGTCAGCTGGGACATTATTGCACATGTACTGTAACAACAGAACAACCAGGAGACAAACTGAATGCAGAGCTTGAGAGTCCACAAAACACAAAACTGGGTCAATGATCCAGGAACCATGACACTACTGTCTTTATATGATCTAATCCAAAGCTTGTTTAGATTTCTCATTATGGATGATTTGATTATAAATCAATTAATGGTTCATCCTGTGAGATAACGCTTTCCGTTTCTATTTTCCGTCACTGATAGTGGTGCCCCAGTATTTTTCTTCTTCAGTGCAGGGTCATAGTTGAGTCTATCCCAGCTGTCCTTAGGCTAAAGCATGCAGCCTGTATAAGATAGTGTAGGTCTAACACAGAGAGAACACAGTGTGTGAACCAATAAAATCCTCTCTGACCTTTGACTCAGATTGCCCACTGCTTTCTTAAACACGATGTTTCCCTCTTTGCTGTAGACGGTGCAGGTGTAGACTTGTGTGTCTCTCT